CAGAATTCCCCAGCCAGCATGGCTGGCTGGGGAATTCTGGGAATTGAAGTCCACGCATCTTAGAGTTGTTAAGGTTGAGAAACACTGCTTTAAAAATACCAATAGACGAGAATACACAAAGCTCAGGGTTGAACTGTGGAGTTCAAGGAACTACCAAGGAGAAAACCACACACACACCCCAACACCGGCAGAGCAACCGGCTGTATAGAAACAGGGAGCAAATCCCACCCTCACTAGCATGGATGATGTTCCCTAGTCTGGTAATAAAACGTCTGCAAGTAAACCAAGCTCAGAGAGCACCAAGCACACTGGGGAGACACAACCCTCTTGAATCAGACCCTCCTCCATTCATTGCGCTGCTCGCTTTGACGCTGCCCAGCAAGTCCGTTAAACACAATTATTTTAACGGCTAATGGAATCTTCTGGGGCTGATGATGATGACCTTCCACGAGCTTCCACGGAAGAATCACCGCGCTCGCGGTCCTCTCCTCTGGCAAGAATTCAGCGGCGGGTCGGGCAGTGAGGACCCCTCACCCACCCCCGTCCTCGGGAAGTGACGGGACCTCGAAGGAGGAGGATGGAGGTCTCTCCTTCCTCCTCCGCGTCCAGGAGCCTCCCCGGCCCACCGAGAATCCGGCCTGCACCGCTGGCTGGAAGTGCGAGCGAAGTGCGCCACGCCACGCCACGCCACGCCACGCCTGCAAAGCAAAACACTGCGATGCAACGCACGCAATGCAATGCAATGGCAATGCACGCAGCCTAGGGGTGGAACCGGGCCGGAGGAAGGGCGCGCGGGAGACCCGGGACGGAGGCGAGAGATGCAACGCGACTCTGGAGGAAGCCTCCACCTTCCCCGCGCAGGATTGCAAGCCGGAGGCCGCCCTGCTCCAGCCGCACCGGGCCCGGATGAGCTCGCACCGCAAGCAGCCAGGAGACCGCCCGTCCCCCCTTACCCCGTTAAGCGCGGCGGGACTCCCTCCCGGCGGGCGCCGCGGCCCCCACCCCCCCCCCCCCCCC